AAAACAAGCATATATCTGGATATAGGCTTAACGGTATGAGAAGAGAAAAGCTAATGGCAGGAGAAGGCAGTATCACTCAACAACCCATGAAGTCTTTGGCTGTTCTCCAGAGCACCTCTCTCCTCTTCCTTTTCAGGTGGGCCACAATCTTATATAGTAAGAAAAGGAAAGCCAAGCAAGGAAATGTAACTGTCCAAATGGATACTAACAGATTTTTATGGGTTTGGAGAGTGGCATTTATAGAATTTTTACCTTATGATCTATTTTTCACGTTAGTTTGGGGACATTTTCTAAGGCAATCTTTAAACAAAAATCAATTCATCAGAAAATCTCTCTCTGTGGAAACATAAAGAAAGTTTTTGTCTCTATCTGAGGTGTGTGTGTGTGTGTGTGTGTGTGTGTGTGTGTGTATGTATGTGTGTGTGTGTTGTGATAGCAGGCATGGATTCCAGCAAAGGCAGCTGTTGGAAATAGCTTGTGGCATAAAATTCTGCACACTGCCCTACATACTCCAGCACAGCTCTCTGTGGATTCTCCAGAAAGCACTCTGTGTGTGAAAGGCTCACTTTTTCATATTCTACACATTGGCAGCTGTTTTGCACACTGGCAGCTGTTTTGTTGAGTTTTGTAACTATACAAATGATGACAGCAGCCTAAACAGCTTCCCATGTTTTCTATTTCTTCCTTAAGGAAAATTTATAATGATCATACACAGAGTTTAAGTTCTTAGTGGAGACTTGCATGGTTCATATTATAAGAAACCATATTATGTTGGACCTTAGAAACCACATTAATGAGCCTGGGCCTTATCTTAAAAATAACAGTAAAGGGGAAAATAATGGAAGTCATTTTTTTCTTAAAACAACATAGATCTGTTATTACCCATGATTCTGTGAGTTGATTGGGTTGTTCTGCTGGTCTTACTTAGACTCACTTCTGAAGTGGCATTCTGCTGAAAGATTGGCTATACAAGTAGGTCTAAGATGGCCTCAGTGATATGCCTGGCAGTTGGTACTGGCCTTTTACCCTCCATATGGGCTCTCATCCTCTAGTATGTTAAACTGATTTCCTCACGTGGTAGTCTCAGGACAGTATCCAAGATGCTGAAGGTGCAAGCTGCATGGTCTCTAAAGCCTAGGCTTTGGAACTCACAAAATGTTACATCTGCCATATTCTGTTGGTCAAAGCAAGACCCAAGTCTAGGACAGATTCAAGGTGGTGGAAACTGAAACTCTGGGTGGGAAGAATGGCAAAGTCACATTGCAAAAGGGTAGTCATACTGCAATAAGAGGATTTTATGACTATCACAAAGTATACCACACCAAAAAGAACCAGAAAACCACTACTGGAATCCCAGGAAACCTACTTCGGCAATGTAATTCTAGGCTGAGTAAATGTTCCCCATAAGAAGTTGTCTGCCAAGTAGAGTACATACATATGATTATTTAATTTCATTTTATTATCATACTAGGAGCCCATCACGCGAAATCGCATGGCGCTGCCTACCCACCTGCAGCCCTGCCTTGACACCTGAACCTGTCCAAGCAGAGCTCCAGCACGCCTGGCCCAGCCCCCAAACTCTCTGGCCTTCTTTGGCTGCTTCAAGCCCCGCCCTCAGTCCCTCCAGTTGCCTCACCGTCACAGCACCAGAGGAGAGCCTGGAAGCCTCCTGCCTGCTGCACTGTGCTCCTTCCCCTGGCAAGTGGGCTGCGGGACACTCAGAGTGCGAGTGGTGGGTGGCGAAGGACTGGTGAGGGGGGCACTATGGGCTCTCACTCCTGCCCTCCCCGGCACGGGAAGGTCCTGTCTCCTCCGGGCCCCACCCGGCTTCTGCCCCGTCTCCGGAGCAACGCCCCAGCTAATATGCTAATGGTCTGGTCGTTACGGCATCCTGACCATTAGCATATTAGCTCTTTATTATGATAGATTGTAGTCCTGGGTCACTATCACTGAAGTTATAAGTGCTCTTTAATTTAGTTACCTTACTTTATTAATTGCCAATGGGTTTTTTGTATAATTCCTATAATTCCTTGTTCGTTTTTATAAGTTGAGAACCAAAAAGGCTAAAATTTTTTTAAATGTACTTATTGTCTTTTCCACAGTATTAGCAGCAGAGCAGGAACTGTGCTGGTCATATACAGCATCATTGGGGGAGACACCTTCATGCAAAGTAGTTAATGGTTCTATCTCCTAGCTGCACAGACCTGCCTGAATGTATAAAGAACATTCTACCTGTAGTTCAGGTCCAGGTCCTAAAACTGTCCTTATACTAGTAGGTATGCTAAGGTATTTTGCTATAGGATCCTTTCCGGGATCAGAAATGGATATGGAGACTGCACTGCTTAAAGAAATCGCATTCATGAATGTCTTTACACTTGATATCTTTAAGAAGATGATTTTTACATAACTTCTTTTGAGGTTCACAGTCAACCCCTTTCCTTCAGTTTATGGTATCTTCCATTAATTAAAAGCTTCAATCTGTAGATGTGTTACGCCAGGTATCAAAGAAAAGCCATAACCAACTGCTTGAGCTTGATGACATACTGTAGCAGATACTAAAGAGTGGCTCACTCTTCTATTCCAACCTTTTTCTACTGTGCCTTTCTGTAATTCAAAACTAAAAAATGCCCTTGCAGCTAAGATTCTGAATGTGATTTGTCCTCCACCAATCAGATGTTCTTGTGTATGAAACTTGAATGGGGAACATAGTTAAGTGGGAAGAGAGGCAGCCTGTAAGGCATTTCTGTTATTGATGTGAATTGTGATGGGGGCTATAGGATTCTGGAATTGACAGCTGTGACTTCTGGATTCTGTAGAAGCTCCCTTGGTACTGCAGTTCTGTGGGGGGTTTAGGGAGTGGTTCCTTGAATCTCAGTCTAGAATTTGTTTTTTATTGCTGATGTCATGCATGGAGTTGTGGGTTCCACTGCATGAGAGGAGAGAAGACAGCAGGAGAAGGTAGAATCACTCAATAACCCAGGAGGTCTTTAGCTATACTCTGGGGCATTGCTCTAGTTTCTGTTTCCTTGGGGCACAGAGCTGGGTGGAGAAGTGGGTAGAGGATATTTGGAGGGGCAAATGGATGTATCCAGCACAGTAATTAGGTCTAATGACCCAGCCAGCCCTTTGGTTTTAGCTGGTCTTATAGCTGCTCTCACTGCCATCCACTGTAGGAGGAGGTTTGCTCTTAAATAGTCCTTTGTAAAACATGCTGATCACTATGCTATAACCTTTACATGTCTCATTTTGGTTAGATAACTTTATAAAATTAATATTATTATTACAACACTACAGATGAGCAAATTGACACCCTGCATGAAATTGAAATTGTTAGAGTTTGAACTTAGATTTGTGCAGTTCTAAAGCCTAAGTTCTTTCTAGAAAGTCATGCTATGAGAGAGAGGGAGAAAATTAAATACTAAATCCTTTTCACTAAGATTAATAGCATTATAAACACACCCATTTTCATTTCTTCCTTGCCAGTAACCTTTATCTTCAGAACATAGTTAAGTGGAAAGGGAGGCAGCATGTAAGGCTGAAATAATTGCAGAAATAATTGACACTCAAAGCATGGTTTTGAGGATTCACCTTTTTAAGAGTTGTAAAACATTTTACAAACTTTTTTACATTCAACAAACTTGTACAAATTCTACAGCTGTCAATAAATATATTGAAAACCTTAGTAAATTCACTTATTGCATTCAGTTTAGTTTTAAATAATGTTTTAACAGAGGTAGTTGGGCAAATAAATACATTTGTACCTGGGAAGTAGGGTAGATCATTTATTCCAATTACCTTTTTATCATACAGTGGGGCCTTGACTTATGAGTGTCCAGACTAATGAGTTTTTCGAGATACGAGCCGTCTCTCGGCCGATTTTTTGCTTTGAGTTGCGAGCTAAAATTCGGGTTACGAGCCAGCTTCAGATACCCCACTGCTAGTTGGCGCAGCGAACGTCACAGTGAACGCCACAACATCAGCCCAGCATCACGTGTCTCACTCGTTCACTTTTTGATTTGACATACGAGTAATTTGATTTACGAGCTCCGTCACGGAACAAATTAAGCTCGTAAGTCAAGGCCCCACTGTAATTTTATTTCTAAAACATACATATCTATATATATAAAAGCCTAAGTGACCATTACAACTGGTCAACCATAAATCAGACGACCGGTTGCTATGACGCACACTAACCACCAGGAGGAAGACACTCAATGCAGGAGTTGCCCCCTGGTGGTCAGTGCGCTCCCACAGCCAACCTCCATGGCTGGCCAATCTCCTGCTGTTCCTCCCTCCGAACCCCCAGCGGTCCCTCCTCCCGATCGGCCCCAATAGGTCCCATTCTCCAGCCAGGCCAACCAACCCCACCCATGCATAAATTCGTGCACCAGGCCTCTAGTTTTAACATAATTTTTTAACTTTTACTTGATTTTCAATTGTTTTTAATAATGTAGAACCTTACTAAGAACCTTGTTAATATAGTAAAATAAAATATTTACCTTTGTATGATAAAAGTAGCTTCTTACATTAGTGTTAACGATGTATTGGTAAAAAGTAAAATTTTCTTGTCAAAAAAGCATGAGATGGAATTTTGCTGTTTTACTTACCAGGTGGATTGTGGGGGGTTTTTTCTGGCCACCTAGGCACCTTTTTACAGGGTGATTTTCTCTAGTTTCATTATTTGTAATTTGAAAATTATAAACTGTCCTTTTGTGGTTCCCTTATAATTTGCTTCACAATTGAGTTTAAATAACTTTTTTTAAAGAGCATTAAATAGTTGACTGACACTGATGGATTAGAGTTTTTATAGAAGATGCAAAACCATAAAAGTAGCTTATTTTTTTTCTTCAAAAAGAAATCACATAGACACAGAACCTGGCTGGAGATCCTGGCTAGAACCTGGCTAGAGAACCTCGCTATGCTGATCAACTAAACACTGCCTCTGTGTCATTCCTTTTGTGAGCATGCGCAGTGCTCCCGCGGCGCGGCGCTGCCCGTCAGGCACTGCGGTAGGCGCCCTAGGGGTTGGCAGGACCCTGACCCCAAGATGGCGGCGCCCAGTGAAGTGGACGCACCTGCCTCCGGCGAAGGCAGTGGGGAGGGCAGCTGTTTCGGATCCTGGCTGGATGGACGGTTGGAGGCGCTGGGAGTGGACCGAGCTGTTTACGGCGCCTACATCCTGGGTGTCCTGCAGGAGGAGGAGGAGGAAGAGAAGCTGGACGCTCTGCAGGGCATTCTCTCTGCTTTCTTGGAAGAAGATTCCCTTCTTACCATATGCAAGGAGATTGTGGAACGATGGTCAGAAACTCAGAATGTTGTCACCAAAGTGAAAAAAGAAGACGAGGTACAGGCCATTGCTACCCTAATTGAGAAACAGGCACAGATTGTGGTGAAGCCCAGGATGGTGTCAGAAGAGGAGAAGCGGAGAAAAGCTGCCCTCCTGGCCCAGTATGCTGATGTGACAGATGAAGAAGACGAAGCAGATGAGAAGGATGATTCAGGTGCCACCACAATGAACATTGGTTCTGACAAATTTCTGTTCCGAAATACCAATGTGGAAGATGTCCTCAATGCCCGAAAACTGGAGCGAGACTCGCTTCGAGATGAGTCCCAAAGGAAGAAGGAACAGGACAAGCTGCAGAGGGAAAAGGACAAATTAGCCAAGCAGGAGCGCAAGGAAAAGGAAAAGAAAAGGACACAAAAAGGGGAACGAAAGCGATAACCTTGGTCAACTCTCTTCTTTCTCCTCGTGAACTGATCAAAGGGAGAACTGGTTGTGCACATGAGTAATTTAAGAGAAATGAGAGAACATTGCGGAGTGGTTTCTCAAGGCATTTCCCCTTTTGTTTACATGGTCAAAAGGAAAATCACAAACACTTCTAATTACAAAATGTTCCATGTTTCTGTATTCAGATTGTTGTAGTTATCAGTACCAAAGATCTGGAGTGGGGGGAACCTTTCTATTTTAATACCGAAGTCCTGTGCTCCTTTTGGCCACTTTCAACAGTCTTCCCTCACCTTGGATAAACCAGCAGGAATATTCAGAAAGTTGACAGTTACAGTTTTTATCCTGAAGGAGCAGAAACATGACCACTACTTCCCTGAGATGTCACTGGTCAAAGTTCATATTGTAAAAGGAGTATGAACTGGCTGGTGTGGCTCAGTTGGTTGAGCGTCATCCTGTGCATTGAAAGGTCACCAGTTCGTTTCCTAGTCATGTCACGTGCCCGGGTTGTGAGTTCGATCCCCAGTATGGGAGGCAACTGATTGATGTTTCTCTCTCATATCAATGTTTCTCTCTCTCTCCTTCTCCCTTCCTCTCTCTCTCAAAATCAATAAAAATATATTAAAATAAAAATAAAAGTTTAAAATGCTTTAATTTTTTTTCACCTATTTTTTTATTAGTTAAGGTATTACTAATGTGTCCTCATCCCCCCCATTAAATCCCCATCCTCCCATATAAAATAAATATCAAAAATATAAGTCTTTGTTTTACTATGGTTGCAAATATCAAAAAATTTCTATATGTGACATGGCACCAGAGTTAAGGGTTTTTCAAAATGCTGACACACCGAGCTCAAAAGGTTCGCCATCACTGCTCTAGAGGCACAGTGTGGGGCAGTAGTTCTAGTTTAAGTTGATGCCTGCCTTTTATGCACATGGAAGAAGAGACTTGGGTGCTCAGCAGTTGAGAAGGAGGTGTGAGGGGTGCTTAGTTTGATTGAGAAAGGTTAATTACATGGGAAATGAGGCTGGGATTCAGAGGATGTTTGCTCTAGATTTTGTGTAATGTTATATTAACACTGGGATTCTCTTTATTCAATTAACAAAATAAACTCATTTTGTTTGGTTTCATTTTACAGTTGCTTTAATCCCACTGAACATTTATACTATTATTTAATTTTACTAAACATTTGTAGATAGTAAAACACCTATAGAATTAAGCAACTGCAGGATATTAAAGACATCCAGTTCTTACAGAGATTTGATCTGCTAATTAGCTACACCAATTTTATGGATCATTGCATCTCACTTAAAATGTATTGTTATACGTTTATAATCTTTCCATAATGAGCTATTATTGAGTGCATGGGCCAACTTCTGTGTGATGTACATGAGAAACTCCTTCCCCCACCTAAAAAAATACATTCACAGACCTAGTAAATCACAATAACATTCTACTGAAAATGGTTCTGTTGGCATTATTAAATGGCTTATTTGGGACCACAATAGAAAATGCAAAACCTGAGGAGGAAAGAGAGTGTTATCCAAAATGGTTCAACAAAAGACAATGATGGAGAAGAGTAAAGCCAACATCTAATAAATTACTAGCCATATAAATTTATGAAGGAAGCATATGAGGGTCAAATTTTCTTTCATTATCACAGTGACCTTATATAGTCTTTGCATTTCAGCCTTTCTGTTAACTTAAATGAGATAAGCTAACATTTTTTAGTTTCTTAACAGGGATACTTATATTCAGAATTAACTATTGACTTTTGAAAATACATTTTAAAAACTTTAGATAAGCTACTGTGTATTGAACAGAATGGTCAGGTTGAAATGCTGCTCACAAAGGTTAACTAAGCAGTGATGATCAAGGAATCACCCCAAGGTTTGGGTCCCAGGAAATAGTTCGTGATCAAGAACAGCCTTCCTCATATGCCTTAAGGAAGATTCCTGAATGGCCCATTTATCTACCAGTGACAAGGCCAGATATAGACCCTCCCAATTCTTCTTTGCCTCATAAATGATTAGGTGAATTGTTTATTTTTACTGAACAATTTGGACATAATGCTCACTAATTCGATTTGACCAAGTGTCAGTCAGGCAGATCCTCTCTTTTCCTTAGGTCCCTGAATTTTGGCCCACTTTTGAGAATTGAAACAGTGGAACAGCTCCTGTCAGTGGCCCTCCGCACAGTCAGCTGACCTCAGGGAAAAACATTCCCTGAACAGCTGTCTATTTATGCTCCCAACTCACCCCACTCCCTAACACTGGTTTCTTTCTAGCTTTGTTTACTCATTCCTACAAAGAAAAGCCATTTCCTGCCTATCCAGTGAGACACTCACAGATGTAATAATGGTGGGAGCATTCCTCCTATTGCAATCAATGGTCTCCCATCCTCCATCACAATTGTCTCTTTCCCCCTATTGCAATAGTCTTTTTTCTTTTTAAATGTATTTTTATTGATTTCAGAGAGGAAGGAAGTGGGAGAGAGAGATGGAAACTTCAATGATGAGAGAGAATCATTGATTGGCTGCCTCCTGAATACCCCACACTGGGGATTGAGCTCACAAACCAGGCATGTGCTCTGACTGGGAATCGAACTGTGACCTTCTGGTTCATAGGTCGACACTCATCCACTGAGCTATGCCAGCTGGGTGTGATAGTCCTTTTAAATAATGTCTTTCATTACCTAAGTATGGATATTTTTTTATTGACACTATAATTATTTAAGCCAACCTAGAGTATTTATCAGGAGTCATATGCCAGACAGAAAGATCATTATATTTTTTTTCTCTTCTTATCTCAGTAGAAATTTTACTGCATATTTTAGAGGTGCGGATGGTACAAAGAAAATTATTAATAGAAAGACATATTTACTACATGTATAGCACTCATAAAATCTCTGTTTCAGGGAGGCTTGCCCTCCCTCTGGTAAATGAGTATGGATTTGAAGACAAATGGGGCTCTGGCAGAGTGTTTGGGCAGAGATTAGATTTTGAGGTCAGAAGTCTAAACAAGAGTTGTTCAGAGATCTCCTAAGAGATTTGGGAGCAGGATTACAAATGAAAAAAATCAAGGCCATGTTTTTTGAGAAAACCCTATTTGCAAAATGCAATGAAGAGAGAAAAAAGTTGAATGACAAATATAGAGGAAATAAAAGAAGATAAACTGAAGATTGTAGTCAAGATCTGAAAGTCAAGAATTCTTAGAATAATTAAGGGCAAATAGGCTGGGATTAAATATCAGTATATGAGAGGAAAAAGTAGAAGGCTGTTCTTGTGTAATTATCTCCATCAATGCGCTGGAATTATAAGTTGGTCTTGGTGGTTCAGCAGGAGATAGTATCAGGATGGGTGGGTATCCCTAAGTTAAATAACGAGGCTGGGTCAGTCTTCTGGAAATTGATGCTTTCCTAAAGTAGTCAGAGTGGTATATCTTGAAATGTTTTGAGATTTTATCAAGGTGGGAGATTGGTTCTAATGTCTGTTCTTTATCTCCATACCTTTGTTAATGCACCAGATATTGCATTGGTTTGGGTGGTATAAGGACCTAGTCCTTTTTCTTAGGCACTTTATTTCCCAATGATGGGCAATTCAAGAGGGAAACAGGTAGTACTATTGTTGGCTGGCAAAGCTTTCTTCATGCTAGTTCCATGTTCATGAAGTGGGTGGGTCTGATAGAATAAAAATACAACTTAGTCTGGCAGTATTCTCTGGAATTAGCAAGGTTCCAGGATCAGAGGCCAACTTCAATGGCTATATCTTCTACATAATCTCCTTCCTGGGAGGGTGTCATTGTGCTGAGAAGGCCAATGAAGTTCTGAGCCAAACCTCCAATATCATACAAAGCACCACATCATCCAGCCCTTATTTCTTTGATCATACCATTCCCTTGTCTTGGATAACGTTATTCCTCAAGAATATATGCCGCCCTAACCGGTTTGGCTCAGTGGATAGAGCATCGGCCTGCGGACTGAAGGGTCCCAGGTTCGATTCTGGTCAAGGGCATATACCTTGGTTGCGGGCACATCCCCAGTAGGAGGTGTGCAGGAGGCAGCTGATCGATGTTTCTCTCTCATCGATGTTTCTAACTCTCTATCCCTCTCCCTTCCTCTCTGTAAAAAATCAA